GAATAATGTAGCAATAATAATGGATAAAAATTGGAATAATTTTCTAACAATAAAAAACAATATTTTAACTCAAATTATTCTATAAAATTACAAAGAATTAGTTACATTAGTACTTATTAATAATTGTTATACATTTTTTTCATTTCAACACTTTTCAATTATTTTCTTTAAATATTTATAAATTTCTGAAAATTTTATTGCAATTTTTAGAAATTTGTAAATAATTTGAAAAATTACTTATTTGTTCATAATTTCAGAATAATTAAAGTAAATTGGATAAAAAAACTGGGCTTATTTATTGATAATAAGAAAAAAAAGTGACTAAAATTCTTGTACAAAAATTAAAATTAATTATGAAATATTTCTTACAATTTATTAATAATAACAAAAAATACTTTTTTTCTTGATCAATTATCATTCAAAAAACAATAAATTTGAACATTTTAAAGAAAATTATAATATTTTTGTAATTTTCTGAAGATTTCATTTGATATTTATAAATATTTTACTTTATTCATTGAATTTGAAATTTTTAGAAATTTGTAAAGAATTTAAAAAATTACTTATTTTTTCATAATTTCAGAATAATTAAAGGATATTGGATAAAAAAACTGGGTTTATTTATTGAGAATAAAAAAAATCGACTAAAATTTTTCTACAAAAATTACAATTAATTATGAAATATTTCTTACAATTTATTGATAATAACAAAAAAAAAACTTTTTTTCTTGATCAATTATTATTCAAAATAACAATGAATTTGAACATTTTAAAGAAAATTATGATATATTTGTAATTTTTTGAGGATTTCATTTGATATTTATAAATATTTTACTTTATGCATTTAATTTGAAATATTTATAAATATCTGAAGATTTCACTTTCAATTTTTAGAAGTTTCAAGATAATTCATGAATTTATTAATAATAGAAATACTGAAATTTTAGTTATTTGTAATTTAGTACTTTTTTGAAGAATTTCGTTAAAATCTGTGTAGGAATCTATCTGTGTAAAATTCTTTAACAGTACTTGAATTCACGGTTTTGAGTGTTGAGATGAGAATCTCACATTTCTCGCATTCCTTACAAGATTGTTGGTATTCAAATGAATCATATGCATCGGAATTTTATTTCGGGTTGCTCTTATGTGTATCACGTAATAATAATACAAGCGAGTTGAGAGGTGCGCGGTATCATCATCATCATCTCTCCTCTGTAGAAAGTTGAAAGAAGAAAGAAAGAAAGAAAACTGTGCTGCAGACAGCTCGAGGCCGAAGAATTCAGGTCGCATCTGTTGACTCCTCGATATCGTCTCAATGTTAATGCCACGGACTCTTCCAATAACCGAAAGAGTATTATATATGGTCACCTGTGCGTTGTGCACCAACCAACACAACACGCCTTTGCAGGTACTCGTCCCACGAGAGTAAGAAACTTTTCATTTCTACCGTAACGTTACGAATCGAAGCCAAAAGCAAATATTTGTGTATATGGACACACCTACCTCTAACCTAACCCGAATTTCGCGTTTAACTGTAAAAAGAGATATGAAAAGTAATAATTTTTAATGTATAATACACGTGAAGGCATGTGAATAGATTACGTTTTTCCTTCGAGGATTTTCGTGGATTTCTGCTTAAAATAATTGCGTTTACCGCAAAACCGTGCATTACTCCACTCATCAGGCCGTGCCATAACCAATGCCATACCATTAAGTACGTACTTCACGTTCATGTAATTAGCTCGTTCTCGTAATTATTCCTTTTTGCGAATGTTATAATTTCGAGGATTGCTGAAAAGGATGAGTTCACGATGGATGCGTCGCTTCGAAGTATAATCTTTTGTTATTTAATTGCAGACAATTGGGCGTTGGCGATTATATCCGCCTTCGTTTTATGCACCGTAGAACGCGTCGTCGTTACCGTTCGAAATGCATCTTCTCCCATCGACTTTCCATCGCCTCGAGGGGAAAAACCCAATCCATTACGGATATACAACCTGATTTTCCACCTGCACACCTTTAAAACTGCTCAACGACGTATTCCAAACGCAGAAGGAATATCAAATACTACGACTTTTGTATACTTTCAATTGATGCGAAACTCAAGAAAATTCCAAGAGAAAACTTAAGCTTGGAAATAATTTCAATAATTCACTTGTATTATTGAATTTAATAATAATGTTTACCTACCAAAAAACTTTTCATTACTTTTGTATATATAAACTACATCAAAAAAATATGACCATAAATATTCAATATTTTACTTCAATTATCGTTAATTCCTTCAAATTATTAGTAAAGTAAAATAAAGAAAATGTTGAAAATGTTGGCCTTTTATTGATTTTAATAATGCATTTTACTTATAAAAAACCTTGTTCTTAACTTCACCTTTCACTAACTAACAAAATTTTGTAGTCCGCACTATAAGAACATTAAATAAAAACTAATATAAAGGATTTATATGCATCAAAGGAATATGATCATTATTTTAAATTATAACGTTTCTTTTATGACAATTTGTAGTTTGTAATTTGTATAGAAAACAACTTTAATTGATGCTAATCTTTATTTTTCAGAATTAATTCATAAAGAAATAGTTTCAATTCATTAGTTTACTTACATTATAGACAATTTATTTGAAAGTGTTAGTAAATAAAGCAACAAGAGTTTATTGGATTTTTTATTGATTTTAATAATAAACTTCATTAACAAAAAAAATATTCTTAACTTCACCTTTTATTAAGTAATAAAAGTTTTTAGTCCACACTTTATAAACATTAATTAAAAACTAATATAAACTACATCAAAAAAATATGATCATCAATCTAAATAATAACGCTTTTTTTATGACAAATTGTAATAGACATGATTTTTCATAAAATTTAAAACAAACTAAAATATTCAATTTTATACTTCAATTATCGATAATTTCTTAAAAGTAAAACAACAAAAATGTATTGAAAATTTTGGTACTTTATTGATTTTAATAATAAAATTTCCTTACAAAAACATAGTTCTTAACTTCATCTTTCATTACGCAACAAAAGTTTGTTGTCCGTACTATAAGAATATTATATAAAAACTAATATAAACTATATCAAACATTTGTTCTGTATAGAAATTTTATTCAACAAATAAAAATACACATGCTTTAAGTTCTAAAAATCGATATAAGTGAAGTGAATACATAATTTTTAAATGAATTTTACATTGATTAACCGAGTGGCGGATATATACGCCCAATTTCTTTTATAATCGAATTTGATCTTAGAAAGTCATCGCTAGTGTTTATGTATATTAAAAATAATCATACAAATTCATATTAATTTCGTATTAAAAACAAAATTTTCCAGTAGACTTTTCCAGTAATTTAATGACTGGAAAAAAAATCACTGCATTATTTTACCCAATTTAAGGCAGAAAAAGAAAAAAAAATAACTGAACAATATTTTTTTCGCTGAGCTAAATTTAGAATATGATCATCAAACTAAATAATAACACTTCTTTTATGACAATTTATAATTTTGTTTTAAATAAGTTTATAAATATATTTTTTATAATGAATTGAATCTCAATGTTCTTGACTGCATTTTTAAGTTTCTTAATGTGTTTATGTAATGAAGACTTACAAAAATTCAATTGAAATAAATCAACATAAAAAAATAAGAAAATAATGACTCTTCTTTTTTAACAATTTGTATTTGAAATTTTCCTTTCTACCATAAATTTATAAATTTATTTTAAAAAATTGTATTGAATCATAATTTATTTATCTACACTTTTATAATAATTAATATTTTATTGTATAATGAAAAATTATAAAAAATCTTATATATTTAAGTTTTTATTTTTCGAAAAATAATAAATCTTAATTTTCTTACATAATTTTTGTTGTTTTATGATTGGATGATTTTCATGAAAAGAAACATATAAAAAAACATTTCAAAATTGTTCATACTATAATAATAATAACACTGAAAATAGTTATGAAAATTGTTGATATACAATTGAATTTTAAATAACTTAAAAACTTTATAAACAAATTGTTGAAATCACGATTTTACATGATCAAAATACATTTTTTTATTGGAATATTTTGGATAGAATATGTTTGATTTTGTTACATGAAATGGATAATTTTCATAAAAGTTTCTGGTAACAAAAGTTCATAATTATTCATGTAATAATAATGTTACTGTATCAAAAATTGTTTGTTTTTTTATAGGAAAATTTTTGAATTTTATATTTGTCATGAAAAGCAAACAAACGTTTTGTTTACAATTTTGTACAAAGATTATCGCAGCCACGACCGAAACGAGAACACCAAAAGATTACCATCACGTAATAATGAACTAATCTACTTTTAATACTTAACTTCTTCAAGTACAAGTACACAAAATTCATTCATATTTTTACTTTTAAAATTTCGATTTAACATGTGAAAATTGTTATCAACAAATATAATTTTAACGTACTTAAGTTCAAAAAAAAAGTTAAGTTGTTAGTAAATATTTCCATCATTTCTTCATTTAATTTTACATTTTATAATATAAAAAATCTTAGTCATTAAGAAAATTATTAAAAAAAAGAGAATTCAAGTTGTAATGAACACTTTTCTTCATATTTGCTTGATTTCAATAGTATTTTCTGAGTATAATTTAGACAAACTGTTATAATTATGTACTTTTTTTATACTATGTGAACAAATTGTCCCAAAAAAATCATTAAGTCCGCTCACAAAAAAAAGGTGTAATTAGAAGAAACGCTCATTACCATGTCAAAAAAAATGTAAGAAACAAGAACGATTCTTCAACTTCCGTAGTAGACCCTAGTCATCTCCTGTGTGAATTCGTGTGTGCGATTCCTTCCTTCTGCTTAGAACCCGACACGCTCCAGAGTATCCGACTACCATATAAATCGCAAGCGTTTGCGACATCCTCAAGCAATTCCTCCAAGTCCATCAAGTGAAGATGTCGTCCTTTGTGCACCTCCTCATAACCATGTCCACCGTGTGTTTCCTGCAAGCCGCAGCGACGGATCTCAGCATGCTCAAAAGGATCAGAGGATGTTTGACTCACGATGGTCCTGTTGTCTGTCTCAAAGAAAGAGCGTTGGATGTTTTGAATGAAACCATCATGAGTGATAAACCTATGAGTTTGTATGGAATCGTCGATGTTGTCAAAGATCCTGGTTACAAAGCGTCTGTGGATGTCGAGGATTTACCTAGAGATTTGGCTTCGAGGAATCTTAAATTGAACGAGATGATCTATGATAAAGTCGAAGAGTTTTTTGCTTCAAGATCTCTCAGTCTCAACCTAGGCAACATCATTGAAGGTAATATAGTTCTTTCTTATTGAAATTTAGATTTTTTCATATAAACAATTGATGAAAAATACAAATTTTTTATTTAATTCGGAAATTAAAAATTTCTGAAAAAATTAAATTTTGAAATTAGTAAATTCATAAATTTTCAAATACTCAAATGATTTAGTTGGAAAATTGCAATTGAGAATTGATTGAATCATAAACTAAATAATGAATTCACAAAATTCTGAAAAAAACTTACAATATTCTGAATGAACTAAATTTTGACCTTATTAAATTCTGAAATGAATAAATTTTGTTCTGAATGTTGAAAGAACTAACTAAATTTGTTTTATGAATCTTAATATAAAGATAATACTGAATTCACAAAATTCAGAAAAATTTTGACCTTACAACATTATGAAAAAAGAACTAAATTTTGAAGTTACAAAATTCTGAAATCATGAAATACTGAAATTACATTTGTTTTATTGAAATGAATTATGATATTACTAAATTGTAAAGTAAATATATACTGAAATTACAAATTTCTGAAAAAAATTAATTATGAAATTAGTAAATTCATGAATTTTTATAAATACTGAAATGATTTAGTTGGAAAATTACAATTGAAAAATAATTGTATCATAAAATAAATAAAATACTGAATTTACAAAATTCTGAAAAAGAAAACTAAATTTTGTTCCGAATGTTGAAAGAACTGAAGTTTGAACTTATTAAATTCTGAAATCATTAGATACTGAAATTACATTTGTTTTATTTTTAAATACTGAAATGATTTAGTTGGAAAATTAACAAATTACTGAATCTTAATATAAAGATAATATTGAATTCACATTATTCTGAAAAATTGAACTAAATTTATTAAATTCTGAAATCATTAAATACTGAAATTACATTTGTTTTATTTTTCAATACTGAAATGATTTAGTTGGAAAATTGAGAAATTACTGAATCTTAATATAAAGATAATATTGAATTCACAAAATTCTGAAAAATGAACTAAATTTATTAAATGCTGAAATCATTAAATACTGAAATTACATTTGTTTTATTGAAATGAATTATACTGAAATTACAAATTTCTGAAAAAAATAAATTATGAAATTAGTAAATTCTGAAATGATTTAATTGGAAAATTTCAATTAAAAAATTATTGAATCATAAACTAAATATAATACTGAATTTACAAATTTCTGAAAAAAATAAATTATGAAATTAGTAAATTCATAAATTTTTATAAATACTGAAATTATATTTGTTTTATTTTTCAATACTGAAATGATTTAGTTGAAAAATTGAGATATTGTTGAATCTTAATATAAAGATAATATTGAATTCACAAAATTCAGAAAAAAAAATAAATTTTGAACTTACTAAATTCTCAAATCATTAAATACTGAAATTTATAAAAAAAACTACTAAGTGACGTAATCATTACGGATTTGACAGTTGAATGACAGAGAACGTCATCGTTGTGCCCATATAGGTTAAACGACCGAGACGAAAATCGTTGCGTTTTCGAAGCAATTGGAGCAAAACAAGAAAGATAAATAGTCAACCAATTTATTTATTTCTTGCAATCATCTCGTTCTAAAAGAAATAAATAATAACATACGAATCAAACCATAATTGAAATTTCCATCATTATATAACAGTAATCGCATTTCAATTACATTTAATACTTTGATTAAATTCAAGGATTGAAGTAGAACACTCTCACAAACTATTAAAGAAATTGAGAATAATGAAGAAACAATGCATCTATTCCGTAAGTTTGAAGGAAATGGGGAACGGAAGAGATTTGATTTCACCGTTCGACCCGAATTTTCGTACTGTTGTTGTTGTTGTTTTCAACATTTTCCTGTGCAGAATTGTATTGTGGAATGCGGCTGCGTTAGATGAAAGGCTTTTACTAGTTTGTGCTGAACGTGGTGGCTCGGTGACCTTAATGTGGATGCAACTCAATGGATCCAAAGGTCAGAGATCATACTGTGGAGGAACAGGAAGGCCTAGATTGTATTCGTAAGAAGCAGCATCCTTTCCTCTGTTGGATAATTGACTGCTTTCTCATATAATCCATGATAATTTTATTATCTAAAATATTATAAAATCTGTTTTATTCGATTGAATCATCAATAATTAATTATCTAACTTATTTACATATTTTTTTTTCAGTTTCATTAATATTCACATAAATTTATAAAATTTTACATCAATTAATCTCTACATTTTTTTATTAGACTTTTGTTTTCAATTTACGAATTTTCGACTTACGCAATAATAACAGAAATGTCATAAACATAAATTTATTTTGTTTTACTTCCAAATAAGCTGTACTTTTTTTAAATAAGAATTTATGCATTTTAGTAAATGTTCATAAAAAATTAGTTTTCAATTTACGAATTCTCGTTTTACGAAATAATACTGAAAATGCTATAAATTCTATTTTAAATCCAAATAAAATCTACTTTTGTTATAAGAATTTATGTATTTCAGTAGAAGTTCAATGTTTATAAAAAAAAAGATAGTTGAATTTTCGATTTACGAATAATTAATAGAAATGTCAAAATAATTACAAACAAATTTGTAATAGTTTAAAATATTGATAAAAATGCTATATAAAATATTGAATTTAATAAAGTTATCGAGTTACGAATTTTCAATTTACGAAATCTATTCAAAACTGAGTAAAAAAACTACTATATCAAAAGTACAACTATTCGAAAGCAGTTAACTATATAATTGTTTAATTATATGATTGAACGATCATGTTAAATTGAGTATGCTGTCATTTTTTTTCCTTTGTTAACTGTATTCCATTCCTAACGACCGTTTTCCTTCGGCGAATCTCCGTTTCACAATTGATTCCACGATGCAACCGGCAGTAAAAGCGTAATTTGTGGAACCATAAAAATCACCATAAAAATTTCACATTAAAAAGACGTTTTTAATCGTTGCGCATCGCATCTGCTTTATGCTAAATCGATGCAAATCTTCGCAGTCTCATCTTAGTTTTTATATATACAATCTTGTTAATGAAGAAATATTATGCAATAAAAAAAATTAATTAATGTTTTGATTGATTCATGAGAATCATAAATATTGCTACATTTTTTGGTTATAATTTAGATATTTTTTTAGTTACGTGAGAGAGATGTCACGTAAGATGATGTAAATTAAAGATTTTAAAGTATTGGAATCAATAGATCTTTTGAAGCTGTGGTTGTTATGAAGATTGCGTACTTTTGACGCGAAACGTCATGTACATGTCAACTGTCATGTCAAAGTGCTACAAAAAAAATGAATAAGATCATATTTGACAAGAAACGTCAAAAACTTGTCAACTGTCATTCAAAATGTCACGTTAATGAATTATGTAATTTGTTTTGTTGTGGTGTGTTTTAGGTCGTGGCAAGAAGGATAAGAAAGGTGGAATGTTGATGATGGGAGGATTGGCGATGGCTGGAATGATGGCTCAGATGTTCATGGGGAAGATAGCTTTCATGGCGGGAGCGGCGTTGCTTGTAGCCAAGTTGGCACTTCTTCTTTCGACGATAATCGGCTTCAAGAAGCTGTCTGGTGGCAGCGGAGGCGGAGGTGAGTCCTCGCACGTGGTTTACGCAACCAGCGGCGGTGACTCCGGATATGGGCATAGCCACGGAGGCGGTGGCGGAGGCGGCGGCGGTGGTTGGCACAGGAGCCTCGCCGGCGACGAGACCCACAACGATCCCTACAGAGCGCACAATCCAACCGAAAACTTCACATTCTAAAATCCCAATCCATCAAAATCCCTTTCCAAATCTTCAAATATCCACTTCAAAAACCTTCAAATTTTCAGTCAAGAACTTTAGAATCAAGTCGAAAGTAATCAAATAGTTTTAGATTACTTCAACCTTCCTACCTGTAAAAGTATTTATATAATACATATAGTATTGAAACACCTAAGGAGTATTCACTGAAGTAAAGCACAAAGAAACAGCTTCAAAATAGTTCAAATTAAGTCAACATTTTTATTAACAATACCAAAATTACCTTTAGTATTCATTTAGATTTCAAATGACTTCAAGGACTTAATTCTTCTGAAGGCTGAAGAAAATTTCTTGAAGTAGATTATACTTAAATCCAAATTTATATTTTGTTTGAAAAACATAATGTAAATCCAGTCAACATTTTTCATATCAAATTAATTGCAACTAAATCATCGTAAATTCTTTCTTTGTAGAAAAACTAAGATACCTAACTTATCCTATAAACAACTACCCAAGTTTGAACTTATGAAAATCCAGTCAACATTGTTTATAACAAGTTAAATTTCACTCAAACTATCCTGAAAGTAAACCGAAACTCCAAAACCCATTCTTGTTCGTAGCAATTCCTAAGAAAGCCGAAGCTCTGAGATAAATCCTCAAAAAACAAAAACCCCAAAAACAAAACACTGTTGAAAGCCATGCCCTCTTCGATCGGTAAATGTCCAATGTTTTATGCTTTTGTTTTTACTTATTTTTTGTTTTGTTTTCTCTGTCTCTTCTCTGCTTGCTCGGTAGGTGGCGGTCCATTTATCGGTCTAGGTGTGTTCATGGTGGCAGTGATCCAAGCCTTCATTAGCGTCACGGCATTGGTCAAAACCGTCCTTCTGCTACTCACTAAGAAAGCCATCCTCGTCGGTGGCCTCTACGGCTTCGGGAAACTAACGAAAACAATGAAAAAAAAGAAACGAAAACCGAAACACGCATGATCTAACTGTAGTTCAATACAAAAAGCTTTTGGTCTCTTTAGGTGCTACTTAAAGGAAAGGTACTAGATACTAAAACCTCTTCACAAATAGAGCCTAAATTTGCACTAAACTTATACTTTTTTTTTTACTTTTTAATCTCATACTTGGTTTCTGTTCTTGTTGCAGGCTCTTCGGGCTGGATGTCTTCCAATTAACTAAAACCAACAAGTTAAAAACAATCTAAAGTGTTTAAATTAATTTATTTACTCAAGCGCAAATTCTTCGATTTATTTGAATACCGCATTTCTTTCTTTTTTTTTTATAAATATTGATTCAATTTTTCGTACAAATTTTTTTTTTGGTGAAAATAGAGAACACACCCATACCAAACAAAGGCAGATCTCTTGAAACCTCCACGAAAATCATAAACAAATAGATTTTTTTTCTAAGTACAAGTTTCAAAATTCTTCAATTTTCAACAAAATTTATCATATCAAATGTTTAATTAATTACAATAAAATATAAGTTCGTAAATTAAGTAATAACAACAAAATTTTGGTATGATCATTCCTATATTTCACAATTAATAAATTACGTGTAAAGAACTGAAGATCTATGACATGTTTGGATATTTAAATTAATTAAGTTAAGTGAAAATCATTAATATTTATGAAGGAAATCGATTCGGTTTTTTTATTTTTGAAGAATTTGCGTTAAACTATTTATTCCTACATTATAATTAACTTACGTAATTTATTATTTATTGCTTAGAATTAATTTAATGTGTGTTAACAAAGAATTCCGTTGATTTGTACTACATTTTAATGTGTTGGTAATTTGTAATTTTCAGCTCAAAATTTGCACAAAAAAATGCTCTGAAATTGTAACAAAACATGAAAGAATTCTTATAATTATGAAATTTGATTTTAACGTGTAATAATTTATTGATAAAAACATGATTAATGTAAAATTATATAATAAGTATTTATTTATTACTTAATTATAGGTTTTTTTTTGTAACTTAATTATTATTTTAATAAATTTCGAATTACATATATAAATTATATTTTTTTTTTAATGATAAAACCTACAAATTTACTTCTATTTTTTTAAACTAAAAAAAAATCGTTTTTATTGACGAAAATTTGAGTTTTTTTTTTGTTTAAATTGAATACTTATTTAACAGAATAATAATTAAGGAAATTAACTTTTATATATAGAAAGGTTTTTATTTTTTTACCATTAATTTGTAAATTGTAAAAATTAAATATTTACAAAATTGATATATTTTTCTAATTGCGTTTAGTTAAGGAATACAAAAAGAAAAGATACAAGAATTTGTATGTAGATTTGAAGAGAGTTTGTATAACTGTATAAAATGTTGTTTACTTGGAGAAGATTCCAAATGCGTTCTGTAAATGATCGTTTTTGAAGAAGAAAATTTAAGTGATTTGCCGTAAGTGTGAGTGCGTGTAATGGCTTTGGGCTGTTTAGTAGAAATTGAGAATGGACGTAGCCTCTACGTGTGTGTTTCTTTGAGTGTATTTGTATGTATACGTATTTATACATGTGTGTGAGCGTGTGTGTGGTCGGAGGCCTCGACGAAAATAGGCCACAAATGTACTATATCCGAGTGAAAGTTTTTTTTCTTCTTCGTTCATATATAAATATATAAAAAAAAACCTGTGAGAAATTTGCGACCTAGTCACCACAAACATCTCCACGTTTCGACTCTCTTTGAGTTTTTCCTCTTTTCTACGTACACTCTCCACGCCAATTCCATTTTGAGCTGCAACATTTGTATTAGATGGCTTTCTTCTGAAAAAAAATATATATAAATTTCATTACATTTTTACAATTTTATTTCAAGTGAAATCTTATTAATGATAAAAAATTAGTTTGTTCTGAACGTTTATTATAAAAAATCAATGCTTTATAAATATTTTCTTCATAAAATTTTTAATAAGTTTTTTTTTCGACGGATAAAATTATATAATAAATAAATTGTTAGAGAACTTGTAAATATTTGAGGTAATAAATTCTCATTAAAATTTCTTTCATGGAAATTATAAATTGTTGTGCAAATCTGCAACTAACAGAAAATTATGTTTTTACTTGACAAAAAATTGAATTGAATTGAAACTATGATAAATTATTTATATTTTTGAAGAATTACTTTATTTTTTTAAAAAATTGTATTTTTTATACTTATTTTTAACAAGAAACAAGAAAAAATGCAAATGTTATAAGCAAACAAAAAAATAATTTTATTCAGACTTATTAATTGTTTCTCATTAAAATTAACGTTTCCTACTTGGAAAATAATACATAAATTGCAACATTTGTATTTGATGGCTTTCTTCAGAAAAAAAAAATATTAATTTTATTACATTTTTACAATTTTATTTCAGGTGAAATCTTATTAATGATAAAAAATAAGTTTGTTCTGAATGTTTATTACAAAAATTCAATGCTTTATAAACATTTTCTTCATAAAATTTTTAATAAGTTTTTTTTTGGACGGAAATATTTATATAATCAAAAAATTGTTAGAAATAAATTCTCATTAAAATTAAAATTTCTTTCATGGAAAATATATAAATTGTTGTACAAATCTGCAACTAACAAGTTTTTATTACACTAATATGTTTTATTACAAAATCATTATTTTTCTTTTAAAATTTCCAAAAAGAAAATATGTTTAATTGATAAAAAATTATTGATATTTCTTCGAAACTTTAATAATTTATTTTATAAAATTGTAATATTTTTACATTTGTTTAAACAAGAAACAAGAAAAAATACAAAAGTTATAAACAAAGAAAAAAGTATTTTATTCACAATTATTAATAAATTCTCAATAAAATATTCATTTCTTTCTTGAAAAATATATAAATTGTTGTACAAATCTGCAACTAACAAGTTTTTATTACAGTAATATGCATGGTTTCATTGGAAAATCTCTGTTTTTTCAAAATTTCCCAAAAGAAAAAATGTTTATACTTGAGAAAAAATTATTGATATTTCTTCGAAACTTTAATCATTTATTTTGAAGAAAACAGTAATTACTTGAAATTACTTAATTAATTAAAAAAATGTAATATTTATACATTTATTTAAATAAGAAACAAAAAAAAATAGAAAAGTTTTAAACAAACAAAAAAAAGTATTTTATTCACAATTAAAAATTAATTCTCATTAAAATTTTCATTCCTTCCTTGGAAAATATTACATAAATAGTTGTAAAAATCTACAATTAACAAGTTTTTATTATACTAATATGCATGATTTCATTGGAAACTGTTTTTTTTTATCAAAATTTTTAAAGAAAATAATGTTTTTACTTGACCAAAAATTATTGATATTTCTTCCAAACTATGATAATTTATTTATATTTTTAAAGATTTACTCAAAATTGCTTAATTATTTTAAAAAAATTATAATTTTTATACTTTTTTTTAACAAGAAAAAATGCGAATGATATAAACAAGCAAAACAAAGATTGAATAAGTGTGAATTAATTAACTCTCATTAAAATTAACGTTTCTTACATGGAAAACATTACATAAATTGTTGTAAAAATCTACAATTAACAAGTTTTTATTACACTAATATGCATGGTTTCATTAGAAAACCTTTGATTGTTTTCAAAATTTCCATAAAAAAAATAAGTTTTTACTTCACAAAAAAAATATTTTCAAACTTTAATAATTTAGTTATTTCTTTGTAAAAACAGTTATTACTATAGAAATACAGTGTTTTATATTAGCAATATCGTAGATTATTTAATTAAAAGTATAATTAAAAACCTATACAATTTTAACAAATATATTAAAATAACAACAGAAATTCATACAAATTATTATAAATGTATTTTATTCACAATTATAAAACTTAATTACAATAATATAAATAAATAAATATTTTCAATAAATAATCAACTTCCAACATTTCTTTCCTTCTTAGATAATCAATCTTTCCACTCTCGTCTTTTTGTCTCTCTCTTAGTTTAAAATTTAACATCTTTGGTCCGCATTTGACAAAACTTAAATTAACCTTAAATAAGTCTAATGTCCTAAAAAAATAACAAATACAAATTACATTGTGCAGAGAAAAACAACTAACTAATTATAACTTAGTCAAAAAATACAGAAAAAATCAATCAACTTTATTTATATTGAATTTTTACCTATTTTTATCCAATTTAAAAGAAAGTTATATAATTTTTATAAAAAAATAATGTAAATTTTCCTTTCTTTGTATATTTTGTGATGTTAACTGATTTACTAGAAAAGTTAAGAATTTGTATTTGATTACATTGATCTTAATTAGAATTTTGACATTAATGTTTACTTCAATCATTTAGAATTCAAGAAAATAACTTTAAATATTCTAATTTACATGTTTACTGAAAATTTGGTTTTCTGGTGATTTATTTGTATTTGTCTGTTAAGTTAATGAAATTTAACAATGCGATCTAATGGATTTTTTGTATGTGTTCAGAAAATTTGCGCAGCGATTTGCTCGAGGAAAAGCATGTGCTCGGCCGTCGTCGCAAAGGATCTGTGGTAATGCCCTTCAGATTCCTCGAGGGAACTGGAGTGAGTATGGCTGCTCGAGTACGTCGGATGCTTAACTATTTCAAAAGTGGTTTTCTCCTTACCTCCGCTCACAAGCTTCTTCAGACCCAAGATCGCCGCTATCGCCAGAGCCATCTTACCTGAAACACATCTATTAACGAACAATCAAATCAGCTGATGAATTTACCAATGATTAAGGCCGTTCCGGCCATTGCAGCTATAGTCTTATAAGCCATAGACATGATGGTACCTTTGATGGCAATAGCAGCCAAGAAAGGTCCAGTCAACTTATCCTTTTTCCGTCTCCTAGCCTCATCCGCGATCTTGGAAAAATCGAAGTTGATGGATCTCGAGAAGATGAAATCAGCTAATTTAAACAATAAATAAGTTATGTGTTTCAACAAGTTTTAGTTAAGATTAACCTGCGATGTTTAGGAGCACTTTGTTCAAATCCGGATGATGGAGTTTCCTCAAATTTCTGTTAGCTTCGAAGAAGAAACGCGCTGATCGATTGTTGGGTTGTTCCACTATGGTGACACCATCGAATAACTCTAGTTTCTTCATTTTCAAAGCTTTTTCAGCGATGATTATAGATCTGATCTTTAAACACTTCATGAGATCTGCGGTTTTGGAGCAATCCTCGTACAACTTTTTCACGATTTTCAAAGGTTCAGGGATGGCCCACGTCTTCACCACGATGACCACGAGGATTATGAGTATAACGTTAGATGTTCTCGCCATTGTATCCGTCTATGCAACTGATGCAAGCCCCGATTTGCGGCTCGCATTTATCCAAGATTCGCATTATTTTCAGAGCAAATCCGCACACGCAACTGTCCACTAATTAGTGGACAGCCTCGGCCAACATCAAGGATGTTTCGTTATGGTCAACGTGCCATATGGGTGATGTGTTATTAACACGCAAATTTCTCCATCCATCATCTCAATCCATTCAAACTATTTAGATTTTTAAGGATTATGATGATACAAATCCTTGTTGTGTTTTCAGGACGACTTCTCTTCTTGTTATTTGATGCGTATTGGTAGACGTGCATTAGGATTAGGTCGAATTGTGAGGAATCAGAGGCAAATCGGTCGTATGTATGCGCGGAAAGTTCACGGTGCAATAATTACGTTGAATAAATAATCGTTCGGCAATTTCCACGCTTCGTGTGGACTAATTGTTTGTACAATTTTGTTCTTTGCTTTGTTTCTATCATTGTAAAACGCATGGAAAATCCGTGCAAACGCACACAAAGTGGACATGAAGAGAAAATGGATTTTAAATATAGTGGAGCTACGTTTCCATTCGATTTTCTAATTTGTGCAAACTTGAAGCAGCTTCAATTTATCTTCCCGCTACTGCTAGATTATTAAATTAAATACATGAAAAGTACATATTTTAACAGTAAAATATCAATTTTATAATCATTTCATGCGATTATACTAGAAATATCTGTCAATTTGATAAAATTTCATAACAGAAAAACAACAATGTCTTCAGTTTATTGTGAATCACTCTACAACTGAGTGTACTAATTACTTAAATACCTTAAATTAAAGTTGAAAGTCTCAATGACTTTCCAATGAGCCTATTGACAGCTTAGTGCTATGATGCGTTCATCTGTTATGAGCTGTCAAAAGTGGCATTACTGAAAAGTAGCGTTTTGATTATTTTCAGCACAAGGAGGAGTTTTCAGATTCGTGATGTTTATTTTTTCATGATTTTTTTTTCTTGATTACTCGAAAGTGATTATCTTTTATATATTTTTATTATTGTCTAAGAAGGGCGAAACCCTTATTATGTAACAAAATTTGCACATTGTTCATTAGTTATCCGAAAAACGACGATTTTGGATGTCTTCAGTTTTTCATGAATTACTCAACAATTGCTGAAAATAGATACATCATCTTTACCCTATATTAAAGCTGAAAGTCTCACCAATGAGCCCACTGTGATCTTACTGATTTGATCTGTTCATCTGCTACGTGTTATCAAAAATTTCTTTGCTGAAACGTTTTCGTGAAATTCAGTATAACTTTGTATATCTTTATTTCTGTTATAATCCGTTTAATTTAAGCAATAAAATATAAATAATTCTTGGATTAAATTTGATAATCAACGAAGTTTAGATAATTTCGACTATTCCAAAGAATATTCAAATAGAAATCAAGATTTTAGCTCCACCATTCTTGGAATGTAAAACATTTTGAAAGTGAATTATATCTGTAACTATACGTATTAATAGCTATAAAATGAGAATTAATATATATTGAATATAAATGAAATGGTACAATAAAAATACCAGAACAGGTTCTTCTTGAGTGCGACGAGCGCGTGTGTGGTTTTAGAATAAAATATTCATGAAATCGAATGGCAGAAACGTAACGCGTTATAAATTTTAAAAAAAACGTATAAAACTATATTTATATAACTAAAAATTATGTATATTATCATTGAGGAAACAGAGCGAATTCGGTAATTACGGATATTTTTCAATAATCCGTGTGAAGAGCATATGAGAAGTACTTGACCCAAAAAAAACACCGTAGAAATCACCTCTATGCGCGAGTTTCCGAAGAGAAGAGATGAGGTTCAAACGGAGAGGAAACAAAGAAGTATTGGCACTTGTCGGATGGTGATGATGATAATTTACGGATGGATATCGGAATTTCGACGAGGAGAAAGTTTTGCACGGTTCGAGTCGAAAATATTCTTGACATTGTTCTGACTCAAATATGGGAATATATGTAAAAAAAAATAACATAATTCTATTCTGCTTTTCTATTGAAGCGCGCGAGACTTAATTTGCAATTAAAAACCGTATGATTAAGACGTTGTTATTGGAATTATGACATATGTTTGGTGTTTGCTAATTGTGTTTATTCAATTGCAGAGAGATTTTATGACTAGTAGCACAATTGTTTGTATTTATTTAAATTTGTTTATGAATTGAAGAAATTTTAATTGTTGGGTTTAATTACGCTTTAATAATATAATTATGTAAATAAGCAAAATAATCATAGTTTTCTTGGAATTCCAATAAAAATTGTAAAAATAATTGAGAACAAGTTTATCTCTTTAATTACTTCGAATTTCACAATTAAAAATTACAAAAAATCAAAATATCAACAAAAAAACCGTAAACATTGTTAAAATTTATTGTATTATGAACAATTGTAAAATCTACATAATAATAGTTATTCAATTACGTGTTTTTTAAGAAATGATAAAATTATACAAACAAATCTTGAATATCAAAAAAAATACTGTAAAAATATATGAAAAATTGTTAAAATGTGCCAACATTTTTCTAATTATTTATATTTATTATTATTGTATCTCTTTAATTACTTAGCATTTTACAACGTTTTACATTACAAATAGTTACGAAATTAGGAGCTTTTTTTATATGAAATGATAAAAAATTACAAACAAATCTTAAATATCAAAAAAAACTACAAAATATATTAAAAATTGTTTGTTTGAATCATGAAACAACTGTAAAAGTAGTCGTAAAATAATAAAAATTCATTCTAACATATATAATTCAAACTGCAATATTCAGAAAAACAAAAGTTGTTTTGAAGTTTGAGAAAAAGTATTAAAATTTTCGAAAAATTGTGAAAATTAATTCTAATATGAATAATTGTAAAGTCTCTATATTTGTCTAATTATTAACAAAATTTTAATGTTTTATAATGTTTTAATTTCAAATTCAATAATTACTATAATTCACTAATAACAATTTAATTAAAATAATTTTAGAATAATTCAAAATTGAAATAAAAAAAAATATATTAACTATTAATAAAGTTTCGAAAATATTGATAGAAAAATTACAAAATTTTATGACATTCTTTAAATATAATAATTAACCCATTTTAGCCCAACTTAATTTCGATTTATTGGATAAATTAGGTGAAAAATAATAAAATTTTTCACGGGTGGATTAACAACTAATTAATTAGTAAAAATTAACATCTTCAATTTTTCTATTTTTGTTTACTATTTGCAAGAAGCATGTGGCCTCATGGTAGAACCACACAAAGGGTTAATTCAGTTGTCACGCCATCTCATCTTCAATTTTTCTATTTTTGTTTACTATTTGCAAGAAGCATGTGGTCTTATGGTGGAACCACACAAAGGGTTAATTCAGTTATCACGCCATCTCCTGGGTGGATTAACAACTAATTAATTAGAAAAAAATAACATCTTCAATTTTTATATTTTTGTTTACTATTTGCAAGAAGCATGTGGTCTCATGATGGAACCACACAAAGGGTAGTTAATTCAGTTGTCACGCCATCTCATGGGTGGATTAACAACTAATTAATTAGAAAAAAAATTAACATCTTCAAACCAATTGATTGTTATTATCAAATTTACTGAATAAAGATAGATTGGAAGAGGAAGTAAAAGAATGGTAAAAAGCTATGGATAATTGTGATCAAATTATAAAACTTAGGTTGGGAAACACTGGAGGAAGGCAGTGACCCACGACGTATCATCTTTCCCTCACAGCAATCCATGGTAATGAGTTGCTCTTGTTCACTTCCAATATAATATAACAATTAACCCTTTTTGGCCCAACTTAATTTCGATTTGTTGGATAAATTATGTGAAAAATGATACAATTTATCTATTTTTGTATACTATTTGCAAGAAGCATGTGGTCTCATGGTGGAACCACACAAAGGGTTAATTCAGTTGTGACGCCATCTCATGGGTGGATTAACAACTAACTAATTAGAAAAAAATAGCATCTTCAATCTAATTGATTGTAATTATCAAATTTACTGAATAAAGATGGATTGGAAGAGGAAGTAAAATAATGGTAAAAAGCAATGGATACTTGTGATCAAATTATAAAACTTAGGTTGGGAAACACTGGAGGAAGGCAGTGACCCACAACGTATCATCTTTCTCTCGCAGCAATCCATGGTAATGAGTTGCTCTTGTTCACTTCCCATATTATGCTCGTTGCGTTGTAGTGAACTTGCTCGTAATAAATGATGCGCGAAATACTGCAGCCAATTAAATCTGTGTACGCTAAGAAACAGAGAAGTTCTTGTTCTAGATTCTCTGGTAATAAACGCTATTACATAAAGACCAAGTGAAACTAATATTAATAAGAACAACAACTTCCGTTTAGTGCGGACGTGTAAACATTCCAACTACTTTACGTCACGTATTACAGCTTCGTTTAGTTAACATCCCTGTTCTCAGGCTTTTGGTACTTCTGCTTACTTTTATTTGAAGAAATAAGAAACAATACAAAAACAGTTGACGCTGGTAAAAGCCGTTCCACTAATGTCTGCGACTGGAAATGCAAGAAGAGAGTGAAATCGCGCCGAAGAAAGAAGGACTTAATGAGTTTTCTATGTGCCAGATGTTTGCGGATCCGCGATTTATTGGAACGACTGCGATCAAAACGCATAGTTCACACTGCTTCTTACATCCAATGATCTACAAAAAAAGAAAATAAGAACTAGACGCATGAGAAAGTTCAACCAAAAAATCATCTCTAATTGCCCAATTCCTTAATCCAAATCAAATTAATTAACAAAACTGTTTTCTTATTTCCTGTTGTTTGTTTCTACATTTAATTTGTTTGATGTAAAAAAAAATGGTTTAATCGATGCGAAGTAGGTCTTTTTAGATGGGATTATCTCTTGTTAAGTGCGGATCCAAAAAAAACTGCGGGTAGCTTCGTGGGAGATTGGAGGATGAAACAATGGTTTTTAAATTTGAGTGACTTGATTATCTTTTCTCATCTTCTTCCTAAATTGGGATGGTTATGTGCGAATCAGGTTCACCATTCTTTACGTCTTCGCGCGTTGATGGTTGAACAATGATGGTTCTTCGTTTCATTAACGGGTTCATAACATTGTTACCATGGAGACGCAATTGGAGCGGCGTTAATTTTTTCCCACGTTCGATGCTTCTTGATTCAATATTGCACCTTTAGCAAGAAACTCATCAAATTCATTCAATTTTTCTGTGAATTGGTGGTGAGAATTGTTATAATTATATAATAACTACAGTTATTTAGAGGTTTACATGAAATTAGTACATTTAAGGTTATATAATTAATGACAGATCAATGTCAAATTCTAACCTAACTATACTAATCAATACATATTCTGAAATATGACTACAATACTAAAGATAATCTAACCTAACAAAATGCTAATTTAACCCATTCTAACATAACATATAAAAACATTCTCTAATCTATCATAAATTTATGTAATTAAGGGACATTTTTTTTATGACAGTTCAAATGTGTCAATGTCAACTTATAACCTGTACTAATCAATACTTAATTTAACGTATCTGAACAATACTTAACATAATCCTAATTAAACTGATTCTAATCTAACCAATAAAATTCTTCACTAATCTGTCATAAACTAATTATGTATAATCTGTAAAAAATAATATCAAAATACATAACGTATAGGTTACATTTCACTAATTCTTAATCTTAACTTAATCAATATTATAGTAAATCAACATAAGTTGACCTAAATATTTATGATTTATAAGAAATATCAGTAAAAATACATAACCTATAATATTGTAATCTAACCTAATGTAACCTAAATTTATATAACCTATAGGAAATATCAATAAAAGTACATAATTTAAGTTCATAACATTCATCCAATTCTAAACCTATTCTATAATATTGTAATCTACCCTAAGATATTTATGATCTCTAATAAATGTCAGTAAAAATACTTAACTTAAGCTCATAACATTCGTCAAATTCTAAACCTAACCTATAATATTGTAACCTAACCTAAGGTATCCTAAATATTTACGATCTATAAGAAATGTCAGTAAAAATGCATAACTTAAGCTCATAACATTCTTCGAATTCGTCAAATTCTAAACCAAACCTATAATATTGTAATCTAACCTAAGATACCCTAAATATTTATGATCTATAAGAAATGTCAGTAAAAATACATAATTTAAGAACATAACATTCTTCAGATTTGTCCAATTTTAAACCTAACCTATAACATTGTAATCTAACTTAAGATACCTTAAATTTTTATGGTCTATAAGAAATAACAGTAAAATATATGTCTTGAGATCATAACATTCTTCAAATTTGTCCAAATGTAAACCTAACCTATAATAATGTAATTTAACCTAATGTAACCTAAATAAAAAAAACAGTAAAATACCATTATTTAATAGTTTGCTTACGCTCCTATAATTCTTACATAACCTATAATTATGTAACTTAACCTAATAGAAACAAATCAAAGCCATTACTTCCTGACCTAACCTATTTGAACCTAAGCTAATCTAACCTAAATTATATAAGAACAATTAACAAAATAATTAATATGAAAAGTAATTATTAATTTCTGGACTATAACTACATATTTTATTTTTTAAATCCACTACAATTAATAAACTGACTAATTATAATTATTTATACAAACTACTACAAATAATCTAAATTGTTTATATTTTTTTTTTAAGTCATTTTTCTTAAATTTCTTACATTTTTTTTGCATTATATTCAATAAAATATGAGATTCGTTCATACTGTTGTTACTTGTGAGATGTGATCTCTCGCGAATTTCTATTTTATCGAAGAATTTCTAATTTCTAATTTACTTTCAATTGATACGAATTTAAGTTTCTACGCGTGTTAATTATCACCACTAATTACACTCATTGAGGTTCTCATTTTTTTTTCTTTAATTTAATATATTATTATTTTTTTTTCTTTAATTTAATATTTTTTTTTACGTTTCACTTAATATTTTATACACTTCACGCATTATTTATTCCGCGCTGAATTTCATATTCAATTAAATTTAATAAACAATTAAGCAAATTAATTAAAATGTATATATGAATTAGTAAGTAAACTTTGCTCTTTCTAGTAAATAATTATGTTTATTTATTGTAATTTTTATTTAAACTCCAATTTTGTTTATGTTTTGAGAAAAAATAATAATTAGAAAATATTTCTAAATATTATTTTTTTATATAATTAGTTTTTAAAGTATGTTTTTTACTTTATTTTAAATTAATTGCAAATATAAGAAATCTTATTATATTAATTATAAATAATTCATTAACAATTTTACTCATAGAAAATATAAGTAATTGAAGAAATCGCGTGTCTTTAATTATTAATGTTTTACTCTAGATTTGTTATGTAATAATAATAGTAAAAGTATTGAAGCGTTTCACTTGAAAGCATTTTACTTCTTTATTTTGAACAATTTTGATTTACATTTTTCTATAAAGAAATGTACTTTTTCTTATAGTAAAAAATATATTTTTTATAATTATTAACATTTTTCATATTATTAGTTCTTTTTCACTAAAATTATAATACTTAAAGTAATTATTAATGATTTCTTACTTTAATTAGTAGAAACGAAAGAAATTACTTCAATTATTTTTTTTCTAAAATTATAATAATTGAAGTACATAATAAAGATTTATTGAATTTTTTGTATTGTAAATTTGTAATGAAAATAATTGATTTTCATTAATACCTCTATTTTACAGATTATGCTCAATTATTAAATTTCTGAAAAAAGTAAATTAAAAATATTTTTGACGAATATTTCTTTTTTTGTTAAAATAATAAAATTTATTTATCCAAATGTATTTCTTAAATATACATAAATATGAATTATTAAAAGAAATCTTAGTTTTTTTGCTTTATAATGTTATATAATTGTAAGAAAATGATGTAATAAGTAAGAAATGTATCGAAGCGTTTACCTGAATGAGTTTTTCTTTGTTTGTTTGCGCAAATTGCAATCAAACGTTACCAATTAGTTTCCTATTAAAAGGTAATTGCAGAGCGATCTTACTTTTAACACACAAAAGCGTCACGCTCGAGCGTCCAGTTAACAAATGGACGCTAATGGTTTGTGCAAAAAAAAAACAAAACGAGTTCACTTGCAGTTTTCAAAAGAAGAAAAAACGGGATTTCCAGTAAATCCGATACATCAAATGCCAAGTGGAATAAGAAATACAACTGGTATGATCATCATCAACAATGATTAGAAGAAGAAACGTCCGTTGCACGGGTTTCCATTTCGAGGAGCGCCGAAGGAATCAGGTGCCGCCGCTGCCCAGATGATCAGTGAATCTGATCGCGGTCCGCCGATCCTCGTCCAATCGCGTCCTTTGTAGGTCATCCTCGACCAATGGAAACGGTTCTAGGGTAGTCGGCAAATGTGTCAATGATGCTTGTCGTAGTCGCGAGGAGAGAATAGGAAGGAAGTAGGAGGCTATGATCATCGAAGAAGGAGAAGAAGGAGTGGAGGTCAACGCAGGGAAAGGTCACGGTTGGCACCATCCTCGCAGCGCTATAAAACCAAGAGGCTCGAACCGGAGAACCATCAGTCACCACCGATCAACATCAACATCATCATCACATCAGTGTGAATCAGTTTTTTTTGTTTGTTATCCGAAGAGTAAAGTGAACACGATGTCGGTGCGTTTTTTGTGCTTGTTTGTGCTGGCCTTGGCCATGAGGGCTTCCGCCGACGGTCTGGAAAATGCGGGCGTTCGCATCGCGATGCGTGTTTACGACGAGTGCAGCAAATCCGAAGGATTCTCCCCTTGCCTGAAGAAGAAGGCAATCACCTTCCTGGGACGCTTGGGTCGCATGGATAAGCTCACCTTAGGAGATGGCTTCAACGTGGTCAAAGCCGAAGACGCTCCCATCTCTGAGAACCTCATCTCCGAGGAGGAACTCGAGAAGACTTTACCGCGTGCCTCCGATTCCGCTCTCGATTCCATCCTGATGGACAAGATCTCCAACTTCATCGGCTCCAGGACCATCCAAATCACCATGCCCAAATTCTCAGCTTCGGATCTTAGCTTCGAAGAAGGCATTAACCACCACCGAATCAACGTGTTAACAATTTACTAATTTTCTTTGTTTCTTATCTTCAGGTCGTGGCAAGAAGATGAAGGGTATGATGGGAGGCATGATGATGGGAATCGCCGCCAAGATGGCAGCTCTGATCCCTGTAGCCATCGCCGGTCTCTTCCTCCTCGCTGGTAAAGCCTTGATCACCGCCAAAATCGCTCTTCTCCTCTCAGGAATCATCGCCTTGAAGAAATTGTTGGCTTCCAAGCACAGCGGTGGTGGCGGCGGCGGTGGACACTCCGGTGGACACGGAGGATGGTCTTCAGGAGGCAGCGGTGGCGGATGGGACAAGAGGTCTTTCGACGAATCCCAGCAACTCGCCTACAAAGCCTACATCCCACAATAAAAACCTCAAATACCACACAATCCAAATCCCCAACACAAACAGAATCACCTCTATCGACCAATTTTTCTGGTCATTAAAAAGAGAAAACAAACACATTCCAAAACACATCCAACCCTGTACAGAGAAGAAATCCAAGAGACAACCAAAACGGACGGACATTATTTAAACTTTTTGTTTTTTAATTTTATTTAATTTATCTGTTATTTATTTTTTTTGTCTAATTATAAATAAAGATCTAATTTATTTCTACCAAATAATAAAAACAATTATTTAATTTCTCAAATCCTCACACAAAAATCAAAACTATTTGATCAAATTATGAAACAACAACAAATTAAATTTCATCAAAAAATTATCATAAAGTTCAAATATTTATAGAAAAAAATATTAAAAATGATGATTATACAAAAATCTAATTAGTTTACATAAAATGTGATTCATTAAATCATGAAAATCATCAAAAAAATGATTGTAGTAGAAATATAGAAATGCTCAAGTTTAATGAAATCTTTCATAGAAATTTCTGAGTAATTTGAAAAATTTCACTTCGTAGAAAAGAAGAGAGAGAAACAAACGTTGAGTGTAATTAAGTTTAATTAGTTGGGGTTTCTCACGGTTTTTGAAGACGTGCTCCATTGATTGTGCTCAGAGAAAGAGAGAAAGATTTATGCTAAATACCGTTTGGGCACATGAAAAGAATGCGGCTGTTGTAAACTACTACTACTCACTGACATAAATCCCGTTGAAAGTGGGAAGGATCTAATATTGAATACTTACAATTTCTTCGGTGGATTCAATGCAAATTTGCAAAGAAAAGATTTATTGCATGTAAATTTGTCACTGAAGGAATTTTATTCTCTTAATAAATAAGGTACAAAAATAAACAGTATAAATTACTTGGATATGAGAGATTTATAATTACAATTTCTTTATTCCAAATTTGTAAATTTCAGGAAAATCTGAATGTAAGACATTTATATAACTGTATTTTAGTATTTTATCATTAAATTTGAGAGATTCCATAAATGGAAAAAAAATCAACGTAAAAAATTATTAATATGTTAAAAATTGAAAAATGCATTATTTTTTCACGCACGTGTTTTTATTATATAAAGTGCTTGTAATTAATGTACTTTTTTCATTTTAATTAGAGATTTTATAAAATATACCTAAAATTTGTCAATTCCGAAAATATCTCAGTAAGAAATTGTAAATTTATAAAACTTTTCCTTAATAATTTTAAATGCAGTTAAAACATTAATATTTATTTGCTTAAGTATATTTCATTATTCAATTAATTATAGTATATTAATGAACAGTACTTTTTACAATGAATACTTTCGTTTGAAAATAATTCAATAAAGATTTAATGTAATTTTTTCACAAAATTTTATATACAATCATTCAAATTTTTAAAGAAAATTGGAAAAATTACTAAATTTAAGGAAAATCTCAATATAAGACAGTAGAAAACTGTAATTAGTAATTTTTTAGTCTATAACTAATCAAAATGAAAGTATTATAATTAATTTTCAAAGATTCGGTAAATTGAAAACTAAAATCAACGTTTTTTGTGTAAATTCACAAAAATGTATCTTCCTTTCCTTTTTCTATATAAAGTGTGCATATAATGAATTTAATCTATTTATTCTAATTACTGATTTTGTAAAATAAACCTAAAATTTGGTAATAAAATATCAATAATAAATTGTAAATTTACAAAAGTTTTACATACATTTCATTATTCACGTAATTATAGTTTTTATACAGTATTCTTAATTAACTAATTAACAGTACGTTACGTACAGTAAATAATTAAGATTTTTATTAGATTTTTTCGTAACAAAATCGGCCAAATGTTTAAAGAAAATGGAAAAAAAATATAAAAAATCTCAATATAACTCAGTAGAAAACTGTAATTAGCTATGTAAATGTCAAATTGAAAGTATTATCACTAAATTTCAGATATTTTGAAAATTGAAAAATGAAGCAATATTTTTTTTTGTAAACTCGCAAAAATGTATCTTTTTACGTACTTTGCTTTTTTTCTATATAAAGTATTTTAATCTGTTCATTTTAATTACTGATTTTATAAAATATACCTACAATTTTTCAATTCCAAAAAAAAATCAACAATAAATTGTAAATTTACAAAAATTTTACTGAAAAAGTTTAAATGTAATTAAAATATTAATATTTATTTCCTTACGTATGTTTCAAAATTCAAGTAATTACAGTTTTTATACATTATTTTTAACTAAATAATTAACAGTACTTTTTATAATCAAGTTTTTTTTAGATTTTTTTTTAAACAAATACGAAATAATTTATTGACATTTTTTTCAAAAATTATCCAAATGTTTAAATAAAATGGAAACAAGAATCTAAATTTAAGGAAAATCTCAATATAATTACAATTAGCAATGTTTTTATCAAATTGAAAGTATTATCAATAAATTTCAGAGATTCTTCTGTAAATGGAACAAAAAATTCGCAAAAACACTGAATATATAGAAAAATGCATTAATTTTCACCTAATTTGTTCATTTTAGTTACAGATTTTGTAAAATCAATTCCGATAAAATCTCAATAATAAATAGTAAATTTACAAAAGTTTTTCTTAATAATTTTAGATATAGTTAAATATTTCATTATATCATGTATATAGTATTTTTAAATAATTAATTAACAGTACTTTTTACAGTGAGTGACAGTGATTTAATTAAGATATTGTTTAGAAATTTATTGTTGGAAAATAATTAAGAAATAATTTACTCTATGTTCTTTTTATTTCTTTAAATTTGTATACAAAATCATCTAAATGTATAAAGAAAATGGGAAATATTTACACTTTGCATGTGGTTTCACAAACATTCAATATTTACACAACGAAGCGACAATTCCGTATGCAATCTTGAACGTGAAACAACTTAATGTCCCTAGTAATTACCTGCAAATTAATGTGCAAACATCGACACGTTAAAATTGAAATAACGCATTCTTAAAACGTGTATGCTCTTCAATTAGCTGAATCAGTGCTGTTTAAATTTGTATGATAAACCACTTTCACCAAACAATATTTGAGAGCAAAAATTTTTAAATTCTTTCTCAAGAATTTCTTCGATTTACATTTTAATTATCGTATAAAACGTTTTCTTTTGGAATTCAGTTTTAATTTGAGCTCTAAAATAGAATACAAATACAATTTTTTTTCTTGTTAAAAGGTTTTAAATCAACGTTTAGAAATTTCTTCGAAAAAAAAAAGTTAATATTTTTTGTCCTTTTCAAACATTATCATTGCTTAACTTATGAAATCAAGTGTAAATTACAATTATGAAAAGGTTATAGTAAAATTTATCAATTAATTACTTAGTTTATTGAATAAATTTAGAAAGAATCAATTAAATTTATGGAAAAGTCAAAGAAATTATCAAAATTAAAAAAAAATAATATTATTTCCATATGATGAAATACAATAAATAACAGTAAAAAGTATAATCTCAGTGTAATTAGCTTTAGTGATTCTCGAGTAATCAACGAAAAATTTAAGACAATGAATATACAAATTGTAATTGGATTTTCAGTCATTTTCAGGAACTTCAAAAATCTAAATATCGTTTCAGATGNNNNAAAAAACGTGAAGAGGTTGCATTTTCAGCAACGTCACTTTTGACAGCTCGTAGCGGCCAAATGGATGAGAGAAGAAAGCTGTCAGTTGACTCATTGGAAAGGTGAGACTTTCAGCTTTAATTTGAGTATAGGTAATGATGAGAGAATAGAAATTGTGCGTAATACGGTTTCAATTCGTATTAAAACTAATTGAAATAACTGCAAATTTACTACTGCAAATTGACAATTGTTGTACAAACGCAAAGCAATAACGAAGAAGCGATTACTATGATTTTCTTATGGAAAAGCAAATAACGTTATTTTTTTTTCCAATTAACAAAGAAAATCATTGTTTTTTCTATATTTCTCATTATTGTTAGATAATTTTGAACAAATTAGTACTAATAGAAATTTACAAATCTTAATTCAATGAAAAATTCAATATTTTTATATCAAACTTATAGAAACATATCAATTTAGGGAAATTGAAAAATTAATGAAATTTTCTTCTATTTTCTCTACTCGTTTTATTTGGGAAATGAATTATTGTAAAATAATTAACAAAAAATATATAAATTTTCTTTTTTATGCAAAATTTTATTACAATGTTTCCAATAAAAATACTAGATTTTACATGTTTTTTGTATTCAACTTTCTTTTTACTCTTGTCCTTGTTTTGTTTGTTTTAAGCTATTTTGATACCAGTTTTCCGTGATTCCGGATTTTCTTGATAAGTTTGAACAGATGTTGTATAACTTGATCATAAATTTTTACTACTTATTTCCTTATGCTTCGAACATGAATATTTAATTGGAAACTTACATTACTCACTTCATTTATTTTCTAATGCATTCTTGTACTATTATTTTTATTGTATTTTGATTTATTTTGCACTTTTTACATTTTTTTATAGAGTAAATTGAAGCATTTATACATAAACAAATTGAATAATATAAGTACATAATCACAAGAAAAACGAAAAGAAAATTTGTAATTTTCTGTATACTTAGTTTCTTAGTTTTTCGACTAAATACGATTTATTACATAATTATATCTAATTGTGCCAAATTTTTTATCCATTGAAATATTGAAATTAATTACCATAGATTTTTTCTCATAATAAATCATGTTTTAAATAAGTTTCAATTAAAAAGTATTTCGTATATTTCTCAGCCATCTCTTAGCGAAAACCTGAATGTAACGGTGAGAATATAATACTTGTAAGTGCTAATAGATGGCAATTTCTTAAAGAAAACTTTTATACGAAATTTCCCCTGAAATAAATAATTAGGTAATAATTATTATACTCTAAATAGATTACGCTAAATCATTTCTTAAAGATAATCTTCATTTATTTTAAAGAAATTTCGTGATAAAATTTAAATATTTCAGTTTTTTTTGTAAAAATTTATGTTACTTTAGTT